TCATCCAATCCGGCTACAAATACATTCGATACAAACCTAAATCAGCCTCAGACCTTCGCGCAGATACTGGCCTTCGTGCAGCCCAACACAACAATTACGCAATCCTCTACCTTCGCGCTGGCGTCGGCCTGCGCGCAGCCTATTAATCAACAAGAGTATACACAGAGGCAAGTGTTCACGCAGGCTCCCGCCTTACTGCCACTTACACTGCAGCCTACCTTTTTTACACAAGGTACTTTGTTAACGCCTGCTATTAATACAGATGTGGTAGCAAATATCACACAAGTCGTAATGGCTATGCAACAATAAATGTGTAAACAACCTGCCACGCAGTCGACTACCTCTTCACACAATAGCTCGCAGATGTCGCAGCCTTCATTTACGGCTCCGAATCCTAACGCCTCCTATCTTCTGCGAGAGGAGGATGTGTTCGAGCCCCCTCAAAATGAGGACACATCGGGGGAAAATTACCCTTCAATTTATGAGGATCATGAATTAATGGCGTGGATTACAGATAGACTGCCAATATCATCACCGTCAAGAAATTCTTCTCCCACTGATACATACTGTATCAAAGGGGACGATATAGACACACTAACCATCCCACCGATAAAACCAATCTCCAACATTGCAGAGAATCTTAATGTTTCTTTTGCAAAAGCCACAAATCACAAGGACTTCAACACCGAGCTTTAATTCTAAGAAATTCCTCATGCACGCCATGTTGCAATTTCTTCGCTCACCGGAGATTGATGAAGATTACTCACTCATGTCAGACTCCAAAAGTAAAATCTTATCGCATTGAGGATAAGAAAATTGCCCAACTTGATACGTCTACAAGACATGCATTCTTTGGACAAGCGATGTCACGCGCTATGAACGAAGCTATGTTCTATGAATTAAAAGAGCCTCAGAACGACCGCGAAAGAATGCTACTTTCAGCTCTCGTCAATCAAAAGAAAAATCAAGAGGTTTAACAGTACTACGGTGACAAGGTCTTATAAATAATTCTAATTTGTCAGATACCTATACCAAAGAATTATTAAGACAACCCTGGGAGGCCCAAGCCCTTTTTAATGGTAACATACGCAAAATCAACAAAGAAGTGCTTCAAGACTCCAAAGTAATCCATACCCAGAGTACCAGGATTTAAAACTGCAACTACCACAAACATTGAGGAAACACCTCTTATGGTGGACAGTGAAATCGAACGTTTGCGCAGGAACTTGTTTAAACAAGCCGGATTACAACAACCACCTATTCGTGGACGCCTCACTTCAAGGCTGGGGAGCTCACTTCAACAGAGAAGTAACAGCAGGCCTATGGTTAGAAGCAGAAAAGCTCTACCACATCAATTATCTGGAATGTGAGGCAGTAATCCGTGCATTATTTCACTGGGCCCCGCAGTTAAGAAACCAACGTCTGATGAACAGAACAGACAATTCAACTGTGGCATACAATATAAACCTTGACCCTCCTGAAGTTGACATTTCAACTTTACAAGCTAGGAGACAATCTGAACTTAACAATAAAGACAAGACATATACCAGCAGTGGCAAATGTCTTAGCAGACGCCTTCACCAGACCAGCCAAACCATCACAGACAGAATGGAAGCTACACCCAGAAGCATTCCAACTGGCAATAAAAGAAAAAGGTTGCCCATTAGATAGACCGATTTGCAACCAGATTCAACAATCAGATAACAACATTTGTATCACCAGTGCCAGACCCACTAGCTTGGTCAGTTGATGCTCTGTCGATATCATGAGAGGGACTAAACGCGTATGCGTTTCCTCCACCAGCCGTGATACCACAGATATTACAAAAGATCCTACACACGAGCAGCCTACAACTGCTTTTGGTAGCGCATTACTGGCCGGCGAGAACATGGTTTCCAGATCTCGTCGAACTAGCAGGAAATCCACTATTAAAACTTCCAAACTGGCCAAATCTACTGCTACATCCTCACTCCAATCAGGTCCATCCAAGACTAGATCCATACGAACTTCATGTATGGAGCATATCAAGAGCAGTCTCATTAAAAGAGGATATTCCATGAGAGCAGCTAAGGCAGTCTCCTTGGCACTTCGTAGATCAACGAGGAATCTCTATGACGATAAATGGAAAAGTTTGGACCAGTTTGCAACATCCAAGGGTTTTTCTGCAGCCAAAGCTACTATACTACAAGTAGCAGATTACCTATGTCACTTACGAAGTACAAGGAATCTTAAAGGTTCGACACTGGGCACTTATTTGGCCGCTATCAGTTCTGTACTGACAATGGCTAACGGGATAAAACTTACTAAAGTTCCTGAGCTGATAGCCCTACTCAGATCCTTCAGACTTGAGGACCAACAGAAAAGATTTAGAGCCCCAGCATGGGACCTAAATATAGTGCTACAACACCTAACCAGTGATGCATACGAACCGCTCCAACAGGCCGACTTTGAACACCTGACGCAGAAAACCCTATTTCTTCTGGCATTAGCTACGGCAGCCAGAATGTCTGAAATCCAAGCGATAGACTTCAATCGCATCACATTTGACAGTGGTAACAACTCATCAGCGCATCTTGGCTTAAGATGGGACTTTATTGCAAAGAACCAGTTACCAGGCCAACCAGACAGACAATTCCATGTTCTGGCTCTTTCCTCCGTCCTTGGTGCAGAGGATACAGAGGATTTATCACTATGCCCAGTCAGAGCCTTAAGATTATACCTACAAAAGTCTAAACCTAGAAGACAAGGTTTTAAGAGACTATTTATTCCTTTATTAAGGAATACACACACAGAGGTATCCAGAACAACTATCTCATTTTGGATGAGAGCTGTTATTCTCAGAGCATACAGAGCAGTGGGATTGGACCCCCATTCAGCCTCCAACCCTCACGAAGTAAGAGCCTTAGCCTCAACTTTGGCACTTCACGGCAACTGCTCCATAACAACTATTATGGAAGGCTGTTTCTGGAAATCAGATACAGTTTTCGCCAACCACTACCTCAGAGACCTTGCTACAGAAGACTTAGCTGGTATTCAGCAATTCGGACCATTAGTTGTGGCACAACAACTCACGAATCCTACCAGACGACATTAGAAGATCACACTCACCCAATATCACGTAGACTTGATGACGTCAGGTTACTGTTCCATAACCAACGACTGAGAGTCCATGCCCCCTGTTTTACTATGCAATTCAGCACATGAGTGAGAAATGATTGTGTTAAGATTATTGCTCTTCTCTTAACACTTTAATCATTTAAGGTGAACAAGATTTTAATCTTAGAAACCTTATAAATCCACAAATCTATATGATTTACTTCCATTTTGCTGCTCACAAAAAAGGAAGGTGGTCCCCAATAAAGAATTTACACAGAAGATTAACAACGTTCCTATGGGGTTTATAGAACAGATCGACGTTAATCACACATACAGGTGGAACCCACAACCTACTGTGAGATTCAAGCAATAAGTATGAGTCAGGATAAGATAAAATATGTATTTTTTAGAGTAAAAATATCATTTATACTTATCCTGACTCATACAAATAAGTACCCCCCCCCCCCTCTTTCCACTGATGTGTTCCGACCATTAAGTAGGAAATAAGAGAGAGTGATGAGTTACTGGGCTTGGTCACATGGTTCCGGCGCGCATGCGTGGAATAAGGGTGCGTTTGGGTGAGCTGTTTTCTCTGTTCTTTGGGAACAGCACAGGAAGTTTCCACTACCTATTCGGAAGAGAGAAAGATAAGCAATAAGTATGAGTCAGGATAAGTATAAATGAAATTTTACTCTAAAAAATACATTTTTGGGGGTCCCTAAATTGTTCTAGTATCTTAACATGTAGAGCAAATTTGTAGAAATGAGACAATAGTTGTTTTCATGTAGATGTAGAGAAAAGAGGCATATATGTTATGGAGAGGTGAGTTTAAAGGGGTCAAGAGCAGGCTTACTTAACCAAACTCGCAGAATGGATTAACACAGTGTTCGCTGTTATGAAAAAACTGCATAAATCTAAGTTACCTTACTGGAAGTATTCGCAACCTTAAATAAAACAGAATATTCCAAGTGATTTGACATGAACTCACCAATATGGTCACAGCCTCCACTCAATGAGTAATAGTTACAGACATACTGGAAATCTTGAAATTAATGCAAGACTGAATAAAGTTAAAAAAAAGTGCGAAACGTCTTTGCTCACATTAATTGGGCTTTGCATTTATGTCCCAGAAATGACTGTTGATAAGACGGCCTCACTGCACACTTTGAATAGTGGAAACACCAATTTGAATACAAACACTTACAACTATCTATTTCCACATCACAGTTTATTGAGCAAAAGTTGTGACTAGTATAGAACAATGTATTATTTCAAACACTAAAAATTACATAATGGAGTGAGTGAGTGAGTTATCACTACTGGGGTCAAGAGTTCTACTCACTCATTTCAAACTAGGCATCATTGAGTACTCCAGCAAGTCCAGACAGACGCAAACCATGCAACACAGTATTTTTGTTCTCTAGGACAGCATCAAAGGTCAATACGACCCAGTGCGTATAGATAGGCTTCATCACACTTATCCTCAGATCTGTACCCTCTTGCCATCTGCTTTCAAGTTTGTTGACACCTTCTCCACGTCCAGAATAAACATTTAAATAACTTAATTAATTTTAAGTGTTGTTTTTAAGAAGACACTATTGTTTTATACTCAGCACTAAATAAGCAGATCTAATTGCTGTTTAATTGGATTAAGGTAAGGTTGGATTTTGGGGCTGGGGGAAGTCACATCCCGCATTTTGGGGTAGGGCCCAGTAGTCGCATTTATTTGGAGACGCATTAATTTCAAGATTTACAGTATTAAAATTGTATGCAGATCAGATCAAGTAAAGATCAGCCTGCTTTTCAGAGAGAGAATAGCAACTCAAAAGCATGAACAGGGAAGTTAGCCTGATTTCTTAACTATAGTGTCTGCTATGAAAGTACTCACATCCTATTTTCCACAGGCTTATTAAGTACTAGTTTACTGTTGGGCTCAGCAAGCACGCCCGATCTCATGACCTATCAACTCAACAATGATGGTGGTATGTCTCACATGGTGCTGTTTGTTATAGTTTGGCTTAGCTTTTCTTGCCTTAGTTTTCACAACTTACTGACTTTCACAGTCCTACTGCTCTCTTGTTTAATTTTGAAATAATGAAATATTAATCTATTCAATCTAAAAACTAAGTTCCATTTTTTAGACTCATGATAGCAGTAAATGTGAGGTGCAACATAAGAATCATGACAACTGAGCCATTTGAGTTTTTAGCTCACATGTCAGAGAGTCAAGTGAGCTCATGTCGTAGTCTGTCCGTCATCCGTCATGCTTCATTCATCATCTGTCGTAAACATCTTCTCCACAGAAACCACAGGACCAATGACACTGAAACTTGACACCCCAATTTGTTCAAGATGTTTGAATCAGATTTTCAATATCGCCAACACAGCAGCAATATGGAAAACCATTTATGTTTCTAAATGTCATGAAATTTGGTATATGTGTAGTTGGTAGTGAGTGAGTGAGTGAGTGAGTGAGTATGGTTTTACGCCGCTTTTAGCAATATTCCAGCAATATCACGGCGGGAGACACCAGAAATGGGCTTCACACATTGTACCCATGTTGGGAATCGAACCCGGGTCTTCTGCATGACGAGCGAACGCTTTAACCACTAGGCTACCCGACCGCCCCTTAGTAGTTGGTAGTGGGGTTGAACACATTTTGTTTTTCATTTTTCTATATTTTGACCTTTATTTGACCTTTGCACTGACCATGCTCTTAAGTTCTCCCCAAATGCATTTTTTTTTCATTGTAAACATGATTTCTTCAGAAGCTGATGCAACTTAAAATTCATATTCTTGTTCCCATGAATGATAACACCTGAATTTGTGAAAGGGGTTCGAATCCAATTTTATATATGGTTGACATGGCAACTCAGTTAAATAACTTTAACCATTGTGTATAACAAAAATGTTTCACAAAAGTGATTTGTATATTCATTTTTGCTCATTTAGAAACATTTTGAATTTATTTCATTTTTGTTTTTCCTGTGCTCATGGGCTTCACCAAAGTGGTAAACATCAGAGACCTGTATCACTTTGGGTTTTCCACCCACATCAAGCTGACAAGGCGTGATATAACTGAAATACTGTTGAAAGCTGCGTTAAACCCAACTCACTCACTCATATTTGTCGATACTTTTGTCCACAATTTTTATGCAGAAAATATTTGAGTAGCAATACTGACAGCCACGTCCTTGTTATTCTGTTTTGGTTGATATTTTATGCTGTTGACAGTTTGTCCAGGTGAGCCACAGTGCCGTGCACTAGTTTTGAACCAGTCTTTCGACACTGCTTTATATACAAAAGAGGAGACATGTTTCCTTGAAATTTTATTTTTTTCAAGCTTCCAAAGATGACAAATGATTTGGAATGGTTTCCCAAAATTTGTCAAACTTCATTTCGATAAAACTTTGTGACGTCAAAATGATGCAAAGAGTTCAGTTTGAAATACCGTGCAAGAACAGAGTGTATAGTCTGCCCATTGATGTCAAGATTGCAGTAGGACTATCATGTTTCTCTATTAACATGTTTAATTATCACTCACCTCTCCCCTTTGTTCATCTTCATATTGGTTTATTTTGCATAGTTATCATTTCTTTCCCCTCATAAAGCATCCAAAAGGAGCACATTGGTTACAGGTCTGTATGTCACTGCAATGTCCAAGTAGATATGCGGTTAAGGTGGTTGGTTATACTGGCTGTTAGTGTCCTGTTGTGTCATGCATCATATTGCAGAGGGACATGTTTAATTGCAGCATGGAGATGACAAAAAGTAAAAAAAAATGAAAACATAGTAACGCTGTGGTTTGATAAACGAGTGTTAAATAAATCATTGAAATCGGTGTTAAAATTTGATCTGGCATTTTGCTTACTTTATTGTGTTACATGTGTTAACATTTGTTTTTATGAATTTCTTACGTCCTTCCCATTCTGAAGTGTTTTTGGCCCCAAATATATGGATTTATCAAGATCTTAATGAAAAACATAAAGATTTTGGTTTTTGTTTAGGTATTAGTGTCAACCTTGAAATTGATACCACCATACAAAAGTTAAGAAATGAAGACATTCTCTACTTTGTGTAAATTGTCTTATCAGACCAAAAGGAATTTGAACTCATCGATCACTGGCATCAGATCTAGATAACATAATTTGGTTTTGCTAGATGTTGAATTCAGCAAATAACAAACATTGTATATTATAGGCTTTATGTTAAGAAATTTGTACACGTTTGATAAATTATCTGGTCTAAGGAAGCATCTTATGTTATTATTATTATTTAATGTATGATCTATCCCAGTCAATGCTGTGCTACATTGACAAATGTTTTTGTCATGAAATAATGCATGTTGAGGTATATGAGATACCCAACTGTGGGTGATAATTCTTGCATCATTATTGATAAAGATGAGGCCATGCCACTCTCTATGATAATACTGCTACCAAATACCAAATATGCTAGTACAGCTACTTGGTATCATGGGACAGCTATCCTTGTTGTAGAACATACACCATATAAGATATGACCAAGTATGGTAAATAATACATGTGTGTCTTTATGATTTGTCAATGAGTAATGCAGATTACATCAAATCAAATAACTATATTAGAATGACTTGTATTGGGGAGTTTTACATGAAGCATGACATCAATAACACGATGAGAAAAGATGTGTAGTATTCTATGTTGTTTTGTATTGTGTATTTTTTGTATGTGCATGATTATTTGATATTGTTTAGAAGATGGTTTTATTGTTGTCAATAGTTTCTCTTGTATAATCCTTTTTAGGGGATGGGACAAATTGATTTTAAAAAAAATAATCATCAAGAAGTAGAATGTCTTAGGAAAGCATGATTTAAACCAGTTAATAATTAACAAAGTTGTAGATGAATCATAGTTTCATAGTTTAATGTGCAGTTCATTTTGTAATTACATGTATTAGAACCATGTAAGGTTTAAGTAAACGAAGAAGATTTAGGAAAAGCTAATGGTGTAAAATAAGGTGAAGTCAGTTACCCCGGGTACTAGTATTTCACGAGGAGTGATCTGATTATATACAGTCAAACACCGATGTGTCACACTTTAAGTTGTCTCATAGGGAAAGCTTAGTCCATGCGTATTCCTTCATTTTGTATCATTCTCTCATTTTTCGGTTGTGTCAAACTTTGGATAATTCAAATTGTTTACGCAAGTCTAATTTAGAGACATCAGTGTTTGACTGTATATGTGGTTGGGTAGAGCAAAGGACTCAAAAAGTTTCATCCACATGCTTTGCTTATGTTTAAAGTATGTACTATACATACAAACTGTTTCTGTTTCTGTTCTTATGTTGGTGTTTCATTATATTTGACAGTGTTTCAAGCTGAGATGCTTTCTTGCTTGAGTTCCATTATGGCTGGATTTCGGATCTGTATGAACATGTAAAATGCTTTTGGTGTTTCTGTGAAGATAACATAATAGACATTATACAATTTCTTCAGATAAGTTACAGTCATATTTCATTTGATAATTATTCTATTATGGAAACTAAGAATTTCAAATGTTATCTTAAATTCATTGTATCTGAAAATTGCCTGATAAATCCATATATTAGGGACTGCACCCTTCAACGGTGTTTTGTGTATTTATACCACACCTAGATAATTATGTTCCACTCCTCACAAAAAGTTCAATCCTCCCCTATCCACAAATATCCTCTGTTGTCCTCTTGTATAATGCATGCATGGTTAGATGTTAACCTATAGAAACTATTCATCGTTAATTTCAAGTTCGCATTTTTAATTGATTTGTTTTTTGTCTCAATTATTTTGTTTAAATGTTCTAAAATTGCATCAATTGTCTCCTCTAGTTGTCTCTAGATGCTTGTCTCTAATTTATATCCAAGATAATCTATTTCACCTTTGAGTTTGTTATAAACATCTGAACATTTATTTCTTTGTGGCTATTTTAATGATATTGGGAAATGGGAAGAACCTTTCATTCTTTGGTAATTATTATTCTGTTACAGAAACAATTACAACATAGATGGTCCTAGTACTTTGACTATTGAACAGAGATTTGCAAAACTGAACCAGGCCTTTTTCAATACTACTAGTCATGGACCTAGATGCAAATTTAGCAGAGCATCTATCAGTATGCACTTTTTTCAAAACTGAGTTGATTTTTCAAAATTCTAGGTCAAAGTACTGAGGCCTAAACTATCCATTCTTTATAAATAATCAACACACATTGTTTCTTTGTAGCTTTTGGTGGATTTGGAATGGTTCCATCTCTACGGCCACTGGAGACTCTACACAACAACCTAACTTTCAAGGACATGGATGACTTTCTGGGTATCGCAACCAACACCAAGTTTGTGACCCCGATTGCATCACCGCCATACAGCATGGTCGGCCCCCAATCCACCCACCCCGCTGTCACCGCCTCTGGCTTGCCCCTCAATGTCTCTAGAGGTTCGTGCATGCACCATTAATATTACCAGTGGCACTAATAGTCAGCCTGGTTTCTCCAATAAACTAGCACCTCAAGACTTACTCTCAGACCTTTTTCTTTGGTAACATTCAATGGCTTTCATTGTCAAGGAACTGAGGATGGATCTTATTCTGCTTAAGCTCAATATGCATTGCTTGACGGTAAAAGGGAGGTGGGGTAGCCTAGTGTTTAAAGCGTTCGCTCATCAAGCCAAAGGCCAGATTTGATTCTCCACATCAGGTAAAATGTGTGAATGACATTCTTGGTGTACCCCTGCTGTGCTAGTGCTGAAATGTTGCTAAAGGTTGTGTGAAACAATACTCACTCAGTTGTAGGCAAATTTCAGGTTGTTCTCGGGCAAGTTGGTATGATTGATGTGACGGGTGTAGTGTGTGATGTTTGATTGATGCATGTGGTACCCGAGAGCAAAGACAATGATTTTGCTGTTTAAGTTTTTCTTATGTCAGTTAACTTTTGACCAAATATTTAAAGATGTAGCAAGATTTCCACAGTTGTTTAGTAAGGTTTTCACAGAAATGAAGTTCATTTTGCGATCATATCAGTGGCATGATCTGGGAGGCTTAAGCAATGGAAAAAAACTACTCACATCTCTTAAAAAATGTGTCTGTGCCAGACATGTACCATTTGATTGAGATCACGACTAATTGTGTATGTTGGTGTCAAGTCATTTGCATTATGCAAATTTCACCCTGTACAATTATGTAATATCATGAGTTAACATCACGAGTGAGATCCAGATAAAACACTAACTCCAATAATATATCTTATAATTAATAAAAAGTGACAATTAACCTGAAGTTACCCCCTCCCAGACTGTTATAAAAAACCACAGATATCTTCATCTACATTTCTTCATTTCATTTCAGTTGATCACTTTGTTTCTTGTTGAAAAGTGAGAGTTTTTATCAGTAGTTAGAAAATTGAGGCATGGCTGGCTATGTTTCTTCACATGTTTGTGGAAGTAATAAAATAAACCCAACATCTGCAGTGTTTTCTCTGTGTAAATGTTTGGTCAGTGCGATGAGTGATGTGAACTATTTCATATGCAGTATTATCAGTGAACAGTTTTACCCTGGAACCATCATGGATATGATATAATCATGACTTGGGTGTTAAATTTGATATGATATCTAAAATGTGTTCACAAGATGAGTATCGTACACACATTAGACAAGCAAAGACAGTGCACCAAATAAATTGAGATCAATGCATTGTATCATTACTCAAGAATCCTATTATGGACCTCTGTGTGGTTACATGCTTGTTCCTGACATTTGACATTATGTTTCCATCTGAATTTAGGGAATCAAAATCAGTTTATCCTGTTAAAGTATTCTTAGATTGTTATTATATTTAACTATGTTACTAACAGCTTACTGACATTGCCCAAATTGCCAATGTTATTTCAGTGGGACACAGTCTCCCTTCTTCCAGCAACTCCTCCGGTGGTCCGTCATCCCCGACAACAATGTCAACACCAGTTGACATTATGCAGAAGCTGAAGATGTACATTGACAGTCAGACAGAGAGCTTGAGAATTGAAGCCGAAGCTGCCAAGGCTGCTGCTGCCGCATCACAAAATAAGAAAGAAGATGTCAAAGATGACCCTGAGAATATGTAGAAATTGAAATGACAATAATGTCTCCATGACAGCACATTATTTGTGACAAAGAACTGTGCAATGCTTTGGAACATGTTGAATCCAAGTAAGATCGTAAGTTATTCATCAAAACAGGAAGCATTTCCTGTTTCGCATGAAAAAATGAGAAGTGTTACTGTTTGCATGAAGCAAGAACTCTGTCACCTGCCTACAGACTTATTGTTGGTGAATCGGTGCAGAATATACTTTCCCTTTATCTACTAGTACACATACCTCAAGGAATATTGATCTCAATGCTGACACTGATAATGTTTTCCCTATAGCAAAACCACATAGCTGTAGTTCTTTATGGAATAAATGGTTGGGTATTATTGACTATTTGTATCCAAGAAAACATCTTGAAGATGCTGGTTATACTGGAGAAGAAACTTTGTTTACCAGAATTTAAGGACATGGTTTGATATCTATGTCATAATGACTATATGATTTATTGTACCAATTGAGAAATATTCTTACTTGAAGAAGTTAATCAACAGTTACATCCATTGCATCCATCAAATCATCCTTGAGACAAATAAACATCAATTTGTGGTCACTACTACTATATATGGCGTAGTAGGTTAGATTCTAGTGTGAAAGATGACTGTCACAAGTGTCAGTTTGCAGAGTGATCTCTATCCCCAACCTCACCATACTATATTAAGTTGCATAATAGTTCACCATGCTTACTACAGTACTCAGGGCCAACACATGTATATATTGTTATCCACACTGTGGATTTCATCATATTGATGAAATCCATGTAGAATGAACTTTGTATATAGTAGTAATGAGATGTATGATTATTGTGATGATTATTTGTGTGTGTGATATAGAGTGCACATGCAAAATGGAATGTGTTTAAATCGAGGGGAAAATACTTATGTGAAGGTATAAGAGTCAGTGTACATTCATTCTGGAATAAATCGGTTTTATTGTTCAAGGGGGCTTATGAGGGATATCCTGCAATAGGGCAGCAGTCAGGGTGACCTCTAATATATTTAAAGCCTCTTTTCTTGTGTACACAGGGACGCAACTTAATTTAAGACATCTACTAGCTACTAAGTGGTGATAACATATTCTGACACCCAGTAGAAAGCCTGCAGTTCTTCTATCCCTCGGGATACTTTAGACATTTTGCAGACTTAGGCAAGCTGGCTCGTGTCAAGTTCGCACCCCTGATACAATGTTATCCTAATATCTGTTACTTGATAATACAAGTGCACTTTGTATCAAGTATGTCAAGGGCTTGTCTATTATGAAATTCTTTGCCTGAAGGATTGCAAGTCAGCAATGGTCAGTGGACCGAATTTTACAAATACCTTTTCAAATTGGATTATGCTATATAGAGGTCCCCTTAAAAACTTAGATCAATAGCAATCAAACAATTCCTGATTGTACATTTTTTAGTGTACAGAATACAAATATATGCCATGACTTTGTGCAAAGAGTCCATGAAATTTGCAGTGCAAAGAGCTACCGGTATGTCTCAGTGTTGTGTCGTCAGCTTTGTGATCAACCTAGCATGACAACATGTTTTACAAACATGTCTCCATATATCGTCAGCCATTATGTCATTTCTCAGTAAATGTCTCAAGCTTATTCAGACATATCTTTAACCAGTTGTGGTGTTGACAGCAGCCACTGAATGACATACTTTACCAATTACTATGGTGAGGTCTTTTGTTTGATCTCATTTCATTCGCATTGCGATTATGCAACAACCCCGGTACCAACAGTATGACACTTTGTTTGCATGAAGAATTACATTTATACTGATATTGTAAATGAATTGCTCTTTGTGATTGCCATGATAAGAAGTACCGGTAATGTGTACATATGACTTATTTTTGCACAGGATATTTTTGTGAGAGTGAAAAGCACAAGATGTACAAAGTGTATGAAGGTTGTTTTTGTTTGTTTGTATATAATGGTTATGAGAGTGCATATTGTTCATGATTTCATGGATGCGCTACATCCTGTCTAATGTTGATTCAGACCACCAAATGTGTATTAAATTCTTACCCATATGTCTGCGTTGAATTGAATCAGTTGAATCGTGTAATTTGAGAGACTTTACACTACTATTGTGCAAGAAGTTTGAATCCAACGATTTATGCTGACGTTTACTTATTCAGAAATATATTACAAGACTTTACATCTTAGATATTATTCAGAATACCTGTTTATTGTGAGATGTATTTGACCGTATGAGTAGACTTGGAATCTTCATGTCTGCAATAATGAACTGTTTACTGATTGATTTATGATTTACCAACTTCATTATTGATCTTCAGCAACCCATGCTTGTCGTAAGAGGCGACTAATGGGATAGGGTGGTCAGACTCACTGTCTTGGTTGATGCATGTCATCGTAACCCAATTGTTGAGACTGATGATCATGTGGTCAATCACTGAATTGTCTGCTCCACACCCGTACACACCCTTCAAAATATATAGTTCTTCATTTATTGAAAATTATGAACCTGGTGATGTGAAATATTTTCTTTGTGATGTTCTGCCTGAAATGTTTACCACAATTGTACCACATGTGTATTCATCAAGCTCAATTCTGGAAGAAAATGAAAATCTAAACATGGAAAGTCCAGTATTCTCATATTTAAAAAAAATATACTTTCCAGTGATGTGTTATTTAGTTATTTTTCATTCCCTTGTTCCAGTATAATCCCTCCCATGTTTGGTACATTAATATATTGTTTCCTTTTTGATATTGTGTTCAGCTCTTTTATCTTTTTTTACTTTGTTATATCCGTATCATTGGCCAGGTTTGTATTTTATTGATTTTTGAACAGCTTTTCAGTTTTCAGGCTGTTTGGAAGGATTGTCTTCAACAGATCAATACCACTTTTAAGCATACAACATTGAAATCGGGGAACTGTTGATTTACAGATTACATCTTCTTAAATATTTTAATGCAAAGTTTGTGTTTGACTGCTAGTACCCATAAGTGATTCATTGATTCGCATTGAAATGATAAAGAAGTTCAAATCCACAAGTCTATCTTCACTGTTATTACAGCTTCTGTGCCACTTAAAAGATAGATATAACCAGTCTGTGCTAAGCACTTTTGAGTCTACTATCCTGAACAAGGCTCTTAGTATCATTTTCAGTATATTTTAGTGTTATTATCTTGACTACTATTGCAGAGCTTACTAGATCGTAGAAACGTTTACGAGACCAGGCCTTGGACTAGTGGCTAAAGTCACAGACTGTATAACCAAGAAATCATCTTTGGCTGCATAACAAGTAAACTAGAGTCAGGAACAACATAAGGAGATTCTGGTCACTACATTATCACCTTTAGTGATGGCACAGTGTTATCACACATGAAGCAAAGAGTCACTTGGAAGTATTCATGTTGGTACATGTACAGGACATGATTTGACAGCATATATGGGTGACTTTATTATGATAATATGAGCACAGTTGTGTATCCCTGTTCAGTTAGTGAAAATGTGCAGACTGTTTTGTGAAAACAGTTTTGTTATGTTTGGAATAAATTGTTTGATGTGGATAGTTTATGGTTGTTGTTATTTGAACGCTTACTTCGGGGAACAGTGTTATGATGCATATCTGGTCATTACATAGCAGCTCCAGGTTCAGTAAGTTATGAATAACAGATGAATGTTGTTTTACTCATCAGTCAGCAGTACTTGAGAAATTGGCCTGTACATGATAAAATCCTGTCTCCAAAACTCTTTTAGCTGATTGCATGAATATCATTCCTCATAAGCTAAGTCACATTTTGCACATGCTGGGAACCATTTTGTTGGTTCTGATGACAATTTATGGGGGAAGCATTGTCAAGGAGTGCCCACTTTAATAAAAACATAATAGTTACAGAAAGTTTCATCTTTGAAAGTAAGGATCACAGACACTATGTAAGTGTTGTTCAGTAATGGCAAATAGGAAATTGTTTTGTAAGATGGTACTTTCATTAGTTCCAAAAGACATGTTATAATTAACAGCGCTTCAGCTGTGTTTCAGCCATATTGTAGCTCTTGCTTAGATGCTCAGCCAATTTTTCCATTTGAAATGCAATGCAATTGCAGCATGCATTCTGAAAATATTGAAACGGGACGATATGTTCAATACTTTAGATTTTTATATTATTTTTTAGTCCTCAGTATTTATGCAGGAAATATTTGAATATCAGTCCTGACAGCAAATTTTCTTAAGTGTCTGTCTCTGTTGGAATTCTAAACTGTAGACTATGTATCCAGGTCAGCTTCAGTGCCCCTGCATTATTTTATAGGGGCAGTCGGGTAGCCTAGTGGTTAAAGGTTAAAATGTTTGGTCGTCACGCCGAAGACCCGGGTTCGATTCCCTACATGGGTACAATGTGTGAAGCCCATTTCTGGTGTCCCCCTCCATGATATTGCTGGAATATTGCTAAAAGCGGCATAAAACCAAACTCGCTCACTCACTCACTCATTATTTTATACTGTAAAAGGGGTGGTCGGGTAGCCAATTAGTTAAAGCGTTCGTTCGTCTTGTCGAAGACCCAGGTTAGATTACCGACATGGGCACAATGTGTGAAGCCCATTTCTGGTGTCCCCCGCCGTGATATTGCTGGAATATTGCTAAAAGGGGCATAAATCCATACTCACTCACTCACTCAGTTATACGGTAAAAAGACTGAGGGAAACCTCAAATGGAGACGCATCAAATTGTTCCTTATGTAAATATGTTCCTGTAATATACAAAGTGATGCAATTAAGGGTATTGATATTTTAAATGAATATATAGAAAAAGTAGCAACAAGAAAAACAAAATATTAGAATGTTATTTCTGGTACAATAATAATTTCTTCCGATCATTGCATTAAATTTCTTTTCAGTTATAATATTGGTTATTTTTTAACTGATTCACCTGTAGGTCTGGAAGAAATGTGTGTACACCTTATTGCTATTTCAGGCTTATTTTACCAGACAATTGCCAGAGCCGGATCCTTGATTTTGACCAATGTGACATAACATAATTGGAAATGTTGGCCATTTACATTACACTAATAAAAGCTCAGGTCCCAAGTGATCGAATGTGTTGGATCTTACATCTGCAGTATCTTTGCCATCATCTCAAGAAAAGGGACTCTCAAAGGGTTCCTAGTTCCCCAGATGAGCTGTAAGAGCCGACAGAATTGGAATCGAGTGGATACTATGTGCTTGTGTTATCAACCAGTTGTTTGGTTAATGAGGTTGGATGGCCCACTCAGTGATTTGGTCATATTTCTCATTATTTGCTGTCACTGATTTGCCTGGCCCAGACTGGATGCTGTGATATAGCTGACATCACCCCCCCCCCCCCCCCCCCCCTTCAGGTGCCAAATATGAGTGTCAACGGTTAAATTATGAACATCAAAATACACACAGACACACACACACACACACACGCATATATGCAAACACAGAGTTTTCAGTGCATGTAACCATACAATCTGGACCAAGAGTTCACTCCAAGCTCATTTAGAACCATGCCTAGCATTTATTTGAAGGGAGCAGGAATGGCCTAATCCTATAACCCTCATATCATGGGTTTAAGTCCCGGTCCGACATGGTTATGTTTCAGGTTTGTCAGCACCATACTCCTGTTGGTGGGTTTCACCGAAGTTGTACAGGTCTAAAACATGCAATGCTTTTTGTGTTCCCCCTACACGCCTTGATATAACTGAACCACTGTTCAAAGTGGCCTTATTCAAGCTCACTCAATCTTTATTTGAAAACTCCACGAAATTAAAATGTTGGTGATGCACTAGGTCTTCAGCAGCTCATGCTTGCTGTAAAAGGCCACTAACGGGATCGGGTGGTTAGGCTCGCTGACTTGGTTGATGCATGTCATCGTATCCCAGTTGCGTGCATCGAAGCTCATGATGTCAATCACTGGTTTGTCTGGTCAAAAAAACGTCAAAGCAATGAAAGTAACAACACAACCGCATGTGCTAAACCAGGTTTACTTCCTCTATGAATACATACATGAGATGGTAACATGATCAGTCATAGATTCTCATTGACTGCTGTTAAAACACAGCAAGTCCCTACGCCCACATGGAAAAAACGTGGTGGAAAGAAAAACGTTCGCAGCAAATAGCAAGCTTCACCATGTTAAAAATACAACAATTTGCTATGTAATGACAGGAACGGTGGATCCTGGGGATTTCCGGAAAGGGACCGAGTACTTGAAGTTTGTGCAGAACCAGTGAGGACCGGGAAATTAAAATGTGTCACCGTGCCCTGATGACGTGGATCGTTGGTAACGGGCTGATCTGGAGGGGTATAGTGGTAGAGCCACCTTTATCAGCCACCGTACGTTTCAGCCTGTGCTAGTACCTTCACCATCGGTTGTAGATCACTCCGTGATTTAGTAATGTGAACAATTTGTGTGTTTTCGTTGTGAATTCAATGGGCATAGATATATAGAGAATCTCACCCGAGTGTCTTTTGATATGAAATATATCAACACGAGTTGAAAAAAGTGGAAACATTCCGAGGCTTGCCGAGGATTTTTGCCACTTTTATCAAAGAGTGTTGATACATTTTATATCAAAAGACACGAGGGTGAGATTTTATTTATCATCCAACATCATTCTTCCAACTTTTTTGTAGACAGTAATTAGCAGTGTCTTCAGTGTAAAAAGTACTGCTAACAACTTCAGTAGCAGAGCCATTAGTGATGCCATTTGATTTTGTGACGTCATGGTAACCCGTGACGTCACAATGGTCTGCAAAGCATTGTGATGTAATTTCATTGCAGCGATATCTACAGTGTTGATGATAATTCATCTAGTTTTGGATGATAATTCAATATTACCGTTCAAGTCAACGGGTCAGGACATTTCCTGGGTTCAGTTCTCTGGAGGAAACGTTGTGTACAGAGGTTCTTCACTGGGCCGAGAGGGTTACACCAGCGCTCATTTACACATGTTCAACTTTATTGGGATAGAATTATGATACAACACTGCGCCAACACAAATATGGATACCATCATATATACTCGGCATGTTGTCTGGGTACTTTGAAGGGTGTCTCTTGGTTTTTAATTCTATTTAAGGACTTGTACATATCTTTGGAGATCCGATAATAATATAGTCTGATTGTCGTATGCAGTGGAAACAGTCTGAAAGGAACCTTTGTCTCTGTTTACTGCAACGGTAGTGTTATAGGGCTCCATTAAAAACTTAATATTACATGGAACAAATAGTCTTGCTTCTGTTGGCCAAATGAAACGAAAGTAATATGGGTTCATTCAAGTATTAACTATGGACCAGCCTCTGATATATTAGAAGGAGCAAGAGCAGACGTAACCCATATGCACAGCGACAAGCACAAATCTACGCTAAACTCGAGGGGCGAGTGGACGTCATCTGGGTTTCATTTGAGAAACTGGTTGCCAGAGTTCATATCTTGGTGTACATGTACACAACGCCCGGGATATTGATGAAGTAGTCTTGGACCGTGTCACGTGCTACCTGGACCCATTTCCCCGCCATTTCTAGAAAGTCCATCAATGGTTCCAGACGATCTTTGTATTCGTCCACCTCTACCAGATATTGTTCACGCATCACGATACATATCAGCCCGCCTGAAAATAGAGTGCATAGGGTTAGTTGAGTTACAATAGGGTTTAAAGCCGCGTTCACGAGTATTGCACTTACATAGCGGTACCTGCATGTATGTGGTTTGCAGCAATAGAAACTACCAGTTGTAGTCAACTAGTCCTTTTAATGACAACATATAGCAAAACCCTTGAAAAGGGGCACATTTAACTAGTCCTTATGGTACCTTAACCATTGGGCAGCTTGGCAAGGGCTATGGGACTAGTACCAATTTCTTACGCTGGGATGGTACTAGTTTGGACTTGTGCTGGTTCTATAGTGCTAGGCCCCTGAGATAACATGCCGCAGTTTAACATTGATACACAATTCAGGGGGGCACGGGTGGCCCAGTCGTCTATTCGCTATGCAGAGTTGCGTCCCTTGGGCAAGCCAGAAATCTATTATTGTGGGTTCGAATCCCGGTTCGCCCCGATTATGTTTCTAGGTTTGTCAGCCCATGCCCGTGCTCGTGGGTTTCACCGAAGTGGTAAACGTCTGAGACCTGCATCACTTCGGGCTTTCCTCCCACATTAAGCTGACACGCCGCGATATAACTGGAATACTGACCCGACTCACTCACTCACTCACACACAATTCAGACCATCTTCCCAAGGCTCAGTAAACTCCCTTGCCTCGGGAAGATGCACTCAGACATTGTACATTGACTCCGTGAAAGCCAGTCCTTGTTTTATCATAATAATTCAGGATAACAAGTACAATCTTTTAACGCCTCTTAGTATGATGCGGCCAGGGGATCGAAGTACCGACCTTCCGCGCTCCGGGCTGACGTTCTATCCACTACACCACGGAGGCAGTTAATAGACCCCATTAGTAAGCCTTGGTTTGTCAGTATGAAATCCGTGCTAATGGGTTTCGCCAAAGACCTTCACTGCGTATTTTGGACTTTAATACTGTCAATACGATTCAACATTAATGCTGTTCAAATCAGCATATAACTCACTCGCTTTTAAAACGTAATTGTAGTCCGATTCTTACCTGGTTTGGTGATCCGGATCAGTTCTTTAATTCCGGAACACGGTATATGACCTTCACCCATTCCGCCGCATATAACAACACAGTCGTACGTGTCTGAAACACAAAGAACAAATACAGTGTCGGTTATCGGCACATGTATATATACAGAAAACTACGGTTATAACGAACACAAAGGAGCCACTAGAAGTTCGTTTTCAGCATATATACAGCAAATGGCAGGGACCAAAAAATAAGTTCGTTATATCCGTCAGTTCGCTATAAGCGTGTTCGTTATGAACGTAGTTTACTCTGTCTATATATATACTTAGCCACGCCTTCTTTCTAAAACATTATTAAGCTTAACGTCAGATATAACAACATTGAGTAATGCCATTTTGTGAAGCTACATGTGACCTTGAATAACAAGCACGTAGGGTCAGAAATTGACTAATGTAGGGAATCGAACTTGAGCTTGACACGCCAACACCCTACCCGCTGGGCTATAGCTTACCACTCAAAATCAGTCTACTACACGTACGTCTGAAGGCTGTTAAGGCTCACCTTAAATAATTGTTGGCAATATGACACTTAAGCCCGCTTTTCGTGATTGTTGGTAATATCAGACTGTAGCTCACCTTCCATGATTGTCGGTAGCGGGTCCTCGGTCAGGAAATCGCTGTAGTAGTTCTCATACAGGCCCTTCTCCTTCGCCCTGAGGATCATCTGAGTTGACGGCTCCAGGGCGTCGATATGGAGGAACCCCTTTTCCCTCAGCTGGAACGAAAGAGTGAGTGAGTGAGTGAGTGAGTGACTGAGTGAGTATGGTTTTACGCCGCTTTTAGCAATATTCCAGCAATATCACGGCGGGGGACACAAGAAATGGGCTTCACACATTGTACCCATGTCGAGAATCGAACCCGGGTCTTCGGCGTGACGAGCGAACGCTTTAACCACTAGGCTACCCGACCGCCCCTGGAACGAAAGAGGCGGTAACATCAGGAGTGTACACAACATCTTGTACCATGCTGGTATCCGCTGGCCGAGGGTTCGAATCTTACATAGGCCCATGATCGTGAGTTTCCAAGTTGTTGAATATCAAATAAGTTAAAGTTGGGATGACGTTGCATGGTGGAGACAGGCGGATATCAAAATCCTGAGAGAAACTCTTACTTAACTCTAGAAGTTATATGGTGAGATAGCATTACCGTGTATAATGTGTGATTTTAAATTTATCATCACAGATTGCATGGAAATTGTTAGTTAACATAGCAGTTACTTTAACTTCTAATTTTTACAGCTGACACACCCGTTTCTGTGTAAGCGGACATTTTAAAACGTTAGGAAAATTCTAGAGATCATAAAAGTCTTCTTAATACTTAGACAAGTAAAACGTAACCTTTGACATGAACGCTGTAATGAATATGATATAGGGGCATTCTTAGATTTAAGATTGGTTGGTTGGATTGTTGTTTTACGCCGCATTCAGCGATATTCCAGCTATATGACGGCGGTCTGTAAATAATCGAGTCTTGACCAGACAATCCAGTGAAGTGATTAATATCATGAGTATTGATCCACGCAATTCGGATACGACGACATGCATCAACCAAGTCAGCGAGCCTGACCACCCGATCCCGTTGGTCGCCTTTTACGACAACCATAGTCGCCTTTTACGGCAAACATGGGTTGCTGAAGACCTATTCTACCCCGAATCTTCACGGGTCCTTAGATTTAAGAGTAAATTGTGGTATCACTTAGTATAGTTCATATGTTAGGAGCAAACGTAAGCCATACAGTCTTCACTTATCAACAACTAACCTATCAGGACCACATACGCGACTATGAGCACACTTGAGCACGCTTGCAATCTCATTAAAATCAGATCTTAGTTTTCGCTACCGCTATTTTTAGCGATAGCGAGAACTAAAATCTGCTTTTAATGAGATTGGGACACTTGAGCACACTGATTAAATACATGAGTAACGCTGTGCTGACATGCCTTTAATTTGTCGATCAACAGTAAACCTGTACGTAACTCTGCAAAGCCACTGTTTACTTGGCTGGATATAACGAGCGTAGAGATTCCAGCAAAATGCACCGTCATGCTGACACACCAGGATGCACATGTACGTATATCTTGCCACGTCATTTCCTGCTTCTAGGCAAAGAGGATATACATACTGCCGTAGTCAGGTTTCGTGTAAACGTAAAGAAAGTCATCGATCGATACACAAAGGTTGGAAGACTAATGTCCCCCTTTCACTACGACCACGAATATCCCGAATCACCCCGTATCGGAAACTTTCGAAATTCGTGATGATACGGCAAATAACCCATGTTATTCTTACATGATTCGTAGTTGCCTCGGGACATTCGTGGCTGCCTCGGGATGTTTTCGTGTTGAGAACAAGACATTTTGAGAGCCACGAATCGCTAAGAATAGCCAAGAATGCAAAAGAATCGATTACGAAACTGTTACGGAACATCAGAACGAATAACGAATGGATTACGATACATCCACGAAATTGCAATTCGGGGACCCTTCCACGAAAGTTTTTGACAAAACTCCCGCGAACTGTACCAATGTTTGGGAATCAAATAAGATTCAATTAAGAACTTCAAGAAGTGATTTAGATTTATCTACGAACATGAACATTTCCTATTCGGGGTGATTCGGGATATTCGTGGTCGTAGTGAAATGGGGGCAAGAAAGTAACACGGGACCTAATAATACCCTAATTACCAAATGAATGAAACTAATATATATATGGACAATTGTAAAGGGTACAAGACCGGGCAGCACACACACAAACTCCAATTTTGGAGTTTTCTTGGCTATAGACTAGCAAAGGATGTATTATTTAAAGAAACCTACATGTTCTGCTACAAATCCAGTTCCTGCAGCAATATCCATGATCTTCTTCTCCTCCCTATCCCGGGGGAAGAAATCCGCAACAGCGGTGGCGGTAATGAGGGGGCCGTTGTACCGCCCAGGTCGCAGGTCCTGAAGGTAGAAAACAAAACATCAAATTCTGGCTTAATTTGGTTCGAAAAACCATCGTCAGATCAGTTTCAGTCTGCTACTCTGTATGTTCCTGAAATAAATGCTCGAGGGGCTCTTATGTCAAAAGTGGAGATAGGGTAGCCTTGTGGTTAAGGTGTTTACTGGTCGCGCTGAAGACCCGGGTTTGACTCCTCACAAGGATACAGTGCCGATTTCTGTGTCCTCCGACCTGATATTAGTGAAAACAAACTCAACCACTTCTCCAAACTTGTAAACTTCTGTCTCACACCGCGACTAAAAAAGAGAAATGAAAAGTTATAATTACACCAGGTGGGCTGAAGTAAATCTGTGAAGTGATTGAAATAAGTTGAAAAGATTTAACTGTTTGTGTAATCGTAAACAAGTTAGTATTTAACTCATTAATGGAAGGAAAGAAACTATATTGCGTTTATACAAGTACGCTGTTTTAGAAACCGCCGTCATGTAGCAGGAATATTGCTGATTGAGGCGTTAAACAACAAAGAAACAAAAACGTTGTTTATTATTTTAGTCATCTAAAATTAAAATTCATTACATATACAAAGCATTCGTAATTCATTATTCATATACCTGCGTCACAGCGTCGCAGAGGCTAGATTTGATTAGACTAGATTAGACAAGATGGAAGCAATGCTTCCACAACTAACTGACCAGTCCAGGCCGGTACATATCCGCTACGCGGCCGCAACGTTATCGGGACAGCGTGTGAAGTTATCATGTTAAGTGCAGATCTAAAGTAGACATTAAGTACTACATGTATATCGTATACTGATTATAAAAATAAACATCTTTATCGCGAATCTGTATGATCCCGTGTTTACCATTCAAGATATTGAAATATATTTGAGATAACGGTACAAGTAACCAAGCAGGACAGGGTATGTAAATAAGAATCTCGGTCCTGATCCCGACTATCCAAAGTATGTGATAATCTGAATACACCTAAATTAAGTGAATATTGTGCTATAGTTAACTTTCTCCCTGTATGACATGTTTAAATGACGGACCCGACGGGCCACAGGTATATGTGTACTTTCTCTTTAGGTGAGTGAGTTGGGTTTAACGGCGCTTTTAACAGTATTCCAGTTATATCGCGGCGTGTGAGCTTAATGTGGGAGGAAAGCCCGAAGTGATGTAGGTCTCTGACGTTTACAACTTCGGTGAAACCCACGAGCACGGGTATGGTGCTGATAAACCTAGAAACATAATCGGGGCGAACCGGATTCGAACCCACAATCATAGGTTTCTCACGAATCACGGCGCACAGCGAATCACGGCGCCTTAGACGAATGGGCCAACCGTGACCGCAGGTGAAAGTGACCCCACTTATATAGCGACGTGCATTCACGTGTGTTACTGCTTGTACTAGTCCGGACTGGTGCCGATTTATAGTGCTAGCTATAGCACACTGAGATACCATACTGCAGGTTAATATGAATACCCCACACAGACACAGTATACGGACTGCGAGCCGACAAGTCCTTGTTTTAGCCCCTTAAGGCCGAGCTTGTTGGTAACAACAAGTACCATCTTTAAACGTCTTTTGGCATGACGCGTCCGAGGATCGAGCCCCGGCCTTCTGCTCTCTGGGCGGACGATCCACCACTAGATCACGGAGGCGGTCACTTTGACAGAGCATGGTGCACAAAGAGGGTACTATTTTGGAGTAGTTTGCCATTTCTTTGAAATGTTGGGATGGATTGTTTCTGAATGTCCTCGGAATATACGTTGTTTCTCAATTTACAGCTGGGATTTTATCTAAAAAAATAGTCTATACTCGAAAATATTCGAAAAAGAAATTATTGTGTGATTGTCGAAAAAAATAGAAATTGCCGCCACAAAATTACATCGGTGCAACGCGCGTTTCTGAAACAAACATTCAGGCCATAGTTTTAAAATATCTGGTTTTGTAGCTGTAGTTTCAAAAATAAATCTAATCTCAAAATAACATTTAAAAATAAAATGCCTACCTCCTCACATTTTGAGAATTGCGGGTGAAAATCTTATAATATATTTTCAATGGTCTAATGTTAAATCATACGCTTATTCGAAATGATGTAATAGTCCGGTCAGAGAAAGATGAAACTGTTCCGATGATGAACCCCTGCTTGCGTGTTTGTTGTTTAACGCCGCACACAGCAATATGTCAGCTATATGGCGGCGGTCTGTAAATAATCGAGTCTGGACATGCCAATCCAGTGATTTACATCGTGGGCATCGATCCACACAATTGAGATACGATATTTGTACAAGTATCACTTGTACCCAACCTGATTTAAATAAAACTGTTTTCTATGAAAAATCCAGGGGGGCAACTGCTACCGGCTGGCTACGGCACTGCTGCGTCTCTAAGAAACAAAGAAATAAGTTCTACATTCACCGCAAATATACCACCTAACAATGGTCCATCCAACGCCTACGGAGCCACCGTCATCATCTGTCCGTGACGACATGCCCGACACATTTTCAGATAACAGACAATCACACCAATGCACTGCACCTTCAATGCTGCGTAATCGAGAACTAAACTAGAAATATCTGGTTCCAATCCGGAATTCCTTTGCTAACCTACCAACCTTGTCTTTTATCTGTCCAGCAGGGTCTGTTTACGAACTGAGAGGGTAGGGAGTCACGTTTCATATAATTACCGTATCTTTGTTTTCAGTACACGCGTTTTGCATAACTTTATTCTTATCAGCTCACCACGTCTTGGAAGTGATTTCACATGGTAGTACACAATCACACTGCAGGTCTTCACGGTCATATTGACATTAGGCGTAGCTGCACTCCGTGGTTAGAAATGTTGGAATAATGGCAGACTATTTGGCAGTCGTAATATGCTTGATGTGCATGCATTGAATTCGTCAAACATAAACAGGTGTATTGAGTCGAAACAAAATGTGTCCCGTTAAAATCCGGGGTAGAATAGGTCTTCAGCAACCCATGCTTGCCGTAAAAGGCGACTACGCTTGTCATAAGAGGCGACTAACGGGATCGGGTGGTCACACTTGCTGAATTGGTTGATGCATGTCATCGGTCCCAATTGCGTGGATCGATGCTCATGATATTAATCACTGGATTGTCTGGTCCAGACTCGATTATTTACAGACCGACGTCATATAACTGGGATATTGCTATGTGCGGCGTTGAACAACAAACAAAGAAAAAAAAAGAAGCAAAATGTATGAGTGTGTATCTTGGTATTCGCTCGGTTTATCTTGGATGTTCGCTCGGTGTACATGTAATATATACTGAACCGCAAAAGAAACGTCACCCAACGTAACATTGCACGAAAAGTTGTCATTTGTACATCTGGGTAATTTTTGCCAAAGTTTCTAAAATTAAACATAACCTTGACTGGAAAAATGAAATTTGATGATAAAGAAAGCAAAGCAGATGACAAAAAAAACCAATCGCCCAAACACATCACGTCAACGGCCATGGTAACCCGTTGCACGTGAGTACCGTGCAAATTGAAATGCACATGCGTTCCCCCATTTCTTGCCCTATAAAAATCCACCCAGATCGGATAACATTCATCCGTTATTGAATTGCTACCACATGCCAAGATTGATAAGAAATCAGAGACACCAAGCCCTTGAACGATTGCAAGCTGGACAAACCGCCCGGCATGTAGCCAATGCATTTCAAGTCCACGTAAGGACCATATACAGGTTCCAGCAACGGTACCAGACCACCAACACTACAGATGACCGACCACGTAGTGGAAGACCAAGGGTCACCACCCGACGTCAGAATCGTCAGATTGTGCGACAGCTGAACTGCGTCAAGTGTTCCTCAGAGTGTGGGCTCAAGTGCCTATGGCCTTCATCAACCGCCTCATCCATTCCATGTATCGACGTTGCACGGCAGCCATCAATGCACATGGCGGACACACGAGATACTGACTTGTGATGCCATTTTCTCAGAGACTACTGTTGTGTTTCACTTTAAGAACATTTGACACTTTAATTTCAACCTTGATGATCGGTTTTGCCAAGTTTGATCTCTTTAATATATCTCAAAGTATGTTTATAGTGTTTGGAGAAATAAGGTTTCTCATATATCCGTCCATAGTGCATTTCTTTTGCGGTTCAGTATATACAACGTATCGTGATATAACCCTCTTGGTTTCCTGATCCGTCAAGGTATTCCCCACCCCCATCTGCTTTATTTTCAATAGGGTCGGTGGGGTTAAAGCGTTCGCTCGTCACGCCGAAGACCTGGGTCCGCTTCCCTACACGGTCACGTTGTGTGAAGCCCATTTCTGGTGTCCCCTGCCGTGATATTGCTGGAATATTGCTAAAAGCGGCGGAAAACCCTACTCACTTACTTATTTTCAATAGAAACTGGAACAAATAAATTCCGAGCTCCCGTAATTACTTTTGGGGCAATAAAATGATTTCATAGTTTCATTCATTACACTCGATTATATTCAGAACTGATACAAACTTTCAAATATTATATTTATGAATATCATTTAGATCTACTGAAATTAAATGTATATCCAAACATCTTTATTTCTCTCACATATTCTAATTAAACAACTTAAAACAAGGAAAAACTAAAGAATAGAAATAACAAAACAATAAAAACATGCTCATATTTGTTAATTTTGAATACTATAATTTATGAATATGAATAATTTTCGAGGGACCAATGAAAAACGTTAGCAATTTAATTATCTCAAGAAAAATACTTTACAGAACCTCTATGCCCGTCTTACCTCATCATATTGGTGACATTCGGCCCACTGGGAGTAGTAGTCGACAGCTTCAAAAGTTGAAATTCCCTTTCGAAATGCTCGGGAATTCTGTGTATAGGCGAGCGCATCGTCTTCCCGCCAGCTGCCCAGTTGACCACAGATGTTTGCGTTGTTTGACATCATTTCCGTTGTGCCTGTGCTGGACGAGAACGGTTGTTTATAATGGGTATTCCTTACTGCAGAATCCACATAGTTGAGGACCACGAAAAACTGTATAATTTGTTCACACAAATAAAGGGGGCATTTCATAAACAGTTTCGTTTGTTTACGTCGATCAATTGGGCGTTTCATAAACAGGTAAGTTTCTTTACGTCTAGGGGGCGTTTCCTTCTGAGGTCGACTAAAGCACTTGCCATCCGCATCATTTCCCGTCATATTTCATCCCGGGTGTTTATGTCATACAAGGGAGGTAACTTTCCACATGTATGTTGCTGACAGAAACACGCCAGTTTGCATTCAATGTGTCAGTACAAGTTGTTTTTGTTGTTGTTGTTGTTGTTGTTTGATTTTCTGGTCAAGACTCGATTATTCGCAGACCGCCGTCATACAGTGAGTGAGTGAGTATGGTTTAACGCCGCCTTTAGCAACATTCCAGCAATATCATGGCGGGGGACACCAGAAATATTGTATAACTGTATCACGAATATCATGTTCATATCGTCATCACAGTCATGTTGCATGACCATATCATGTATAGATTGTGTACACAGTCATGTGACGCGGTGGCGTAGCCTAGTGGTTAAAACGTTCGGTCGTCACGCCGAAGACCCGGGTTCGTTTCCCCACATGGGTTCTTACACATAGTGGTAATATAATATCTCACTGGGGAATGAGAACGTGTTGATTTTGCAATTATAATGTTACTTATTTCCGTTCTATATTTACAAAGAAATAATTTTGTTTCATTTTAGGCGCAAAATCCTAAGAAAATGACGGCCATATTAATCCAAGATGGCCGCCAATATACCATTAAGAAAACACCTTGTGTCCAAACAATTTCGTGGTATAAAGGGGGAATTCAATGGGTATGAAATAATCATTGTTGAACAAAGTGTCAGCTAAGTATAAATCGCCAATAATCCGCACCAGTGGATTACGTCATGTGGCGTGCATATCGTTACTGAATTTGGTTCTGCAATACACCGCTCCTTTGTTGGTGGTGTTGCATCATTCAACTGCACGGTGACAAGTCACATTTACCACGTCTCTGTTTACCTCTTTAGAAAACACATTGACACTTTCATTTGAAATCTACTCTGGAGGATTTATATTATTAGCTCAAGAATTGGCTGATGCAAGAATAATGCTGGTGTACACTGGACGTTTTCCGTGATTTTTTAACCAATTATACCCTCATTGTTTGTCATCGTGACTAGTACAATTTTCACAGTCGAAGGGTCGAGAAAGATCGGTTATATACGTCAAGTTATGATCAGGCAAGTGAAACAAACTTCTTCAAAACTGACTGACATTATATCACTTAATTTTTCTTGAGTCATTCCAGTGTACATAGCTGGTAAAAGTAAAATATATTTTCATTATAAGGTTGGAGCTAAATATTTGATTGATTTCTCACTGTTTGTATGAAGACAAGAAAAAACGAAAAATATATTTCCACCTAATGTATTTAACCAGATTAACATTTCATGGCATCCAGCGTACTTCACTGTGGCATCCGGATTACTGGTCAAAAGACCCGTGAAAATCCGGGGTAGAATAGGTCTTCAACAACCCATGCTTGCTGTAAAAGGCGACAATGCTTGTCGTAAGAGGCGACTAACGGGATCGGGTGGTCAGCCTCGCTGACTTGGTTGATGCTTGTCATTGTATCCCAATTGCGTAGATCGATGCTTATGAAGTAAATCACTAAATTGTCTGGTCCAGACTCGATCATTTCCAGACCGCCGTCATATAGCTGGAATATTGTTGAGCGTGGCGTTAAACAACAAACAAACAAACAAACAAAAGGGCTCGGTATCCAGGGTACCAAAAAGGGGGAAGAAATATACTTATACAGAGAGCTGTAAATAAAGCACTTCTGATGATTCTATTCATAACCGAATTACTTTGAAAATCACTAAGTCAGATCGTGATGTCGCCTGTTGCATGATTTGTACATGCGGGTTGGGGTGACTGGGTTGAAAAAACAACCGAACTTTGATTATTATGGAGTAAACAATGATAATACACTCCGCTGTACTCCCGTATGTCTGATATAGATCCGGAGTATTCCAGTTATGACTGGCGCTAGTCAGGGCCCGTAGAGAGGGTCGCCCAGTGTCAATCAGTAAGCCTGCTTGTCGTCAGGCGCAGTTCCGCCAGTTTATGCCGGAATAGTTACCGTTATCTATATTAGGTAAGCTGAGGTGAAACGTGGTTTTATAGCGTGTCAAAGATTATTTCACTCAAGCATCGATGTGCATGCATATGTGTGTGTGTCGCTTATTGTATTTATCTGTACTTTATAATATACCGGTGTTATAGTGCACTGATATACCATGCATCAGCAGTTTAACATGGATACCACACTCAGACGAATTATTTTTACTTCAATACAACCAGTCCTTGTTTTATCCCCTTAATGACGAGCGCCAGGGTAACAACAAGTACCATCTTTTACCTTTTTTTGGTATGACGCAGCCGGGGAATGATTGACCCATCGACCTTCCGCTCTTGTTATCTATATTAAATCTGGGGGCACGGATGGCCCATTCGCCTAAGGCGCCGCGATTCGCTGTGCAGAGTTGCGTCCCTTGGGCATACCAGAAACCTATGATTGTGGGTTCGAATCCCGGTTCCCCCCGGTTACGTTTCTAGGTTTGTCATCACCATACCCGTGCTCGTGGGTTTCACCGAAGTGGTAAACGTCTGAGACCTACATCACTTCGGGCTTTCCTCCCACATTAAGCTGACACGCTGGAATACTGTTAAAAGCGGCGTTAAACCCAACTCACTCACTCACTCACTATATTAAATTTCGAATAAAGTGTTATGGTGTGTAACCTTGCTCATTAGCCACCGTAGTCTCGAAACAGATAATTTTGGCGAAGCGATGAAAAATATTTGAACGGTATCAAGCTTAAAACACGACCTATTTTAGGGCTAATATTATCAATGTATGCAATGCCAAAAAATTGTACCACAAAAAGTGGATCTTTATCACGTAACCTGTATGTGAATGCGAAGGAGTTTATATAGAGCTCTGACCGCCTCCTTGGTCTAGTGGTAGAGCGTCCGCGCGGGGAGTGGAAGGTTCGGGGTTTGATCACCGGCCGCGTCATACCAAAGGGTGTTAAAAGATGGTACTTGTTGTTACCCTGTCTGGCGCTCGGCATTAAGGGGCTAAAACAACGAAGGGGGGGGGGGGGGGGGGGACACCAGAAATGGGCTTTACACATTGTACCCATGTAGGGAATCGAACCCGGGTCTTTGGCGTGACTAGTGAACGCTTTAACCAGTAGACTACCCCATGGCCCCTACGGGTTTATCCGAATCAAAATGAGCCGAGTGGCCACTGTGACGAAGGTCCAGTGTTCGATCCCCGACCGCGTCATAACATAACACGTTAAAAGATTGTTCTTGTTGTTACCCTGCCTGGCGCTCGGCATTAAGGGGCTAAAGCATGAACTTGTCGGCTCGGAGTCAGTATACTGTGTCTGAGTGGGGTATTTATGTTAAACTGCAGCATGTTATCTCATTGTGCTAGCACTATTAAGTAGGCATCAGGCAGGACTAGTACAAGCAGCCACACACACACACACACCATTTCACTCCCCACTTCACCTCTGTGGCCTGTTATGATAAGTCCTGGGGACCTTTTGTAACCCGAGTCCCAACGTTTCAGGAAATACCTGTGTGTTCCTTATTTCTGTCCCAGAGTATACTGTGTTTACAAAACAAATGGAGATTATTCTGACCCCTAGATTATATCGATGGCCGATTTAGATTCCCAGGCACGTGTTGAGATAATTGAGCTCAAATTCTTATGCAACTAATTCGGTTCAAACTGGTTCCTCCTTCAAACCTGACCGATTTACTCGTAACCATTTCACACTAAAGCACATGACTATGACGTATGACCGGAAGCCTCATGAGCAGAGCTTGCTCATACGATTTCTACTCTTAATCTCCCACACAACAAACCTGACATACTGGGTATCTATTCTCACCTGGGACTCCCACGTTCATATTAAGATTACCCACATGTACTTGCGTGGTTTACAATATCCATGTCGGACAAACATGGGTCTTTTACCCAGTCTACATGTATGATAAAGGATAGAACGGATATATACTACGCTTGATAATCGTATCGTACCGAATATATTATATATGATGATAATTGAGACATTGAAGGATGGGCGGGGAAGGTTTGTACCAAATATATTACATATAATTATAATTGAGACATTTAAAGATGGGCGGGGAAGGTTTGTACCGATTATATTATATATTATTATAATTGAGACATTGAAGGATGGGCGGGGAAGGTTTGTACCGAATATATTATATATAATTAAAATTGAGACATTGAAGGATGGGCGAGGAAGGTTTGTACCGAATATATTATATATAATTATAATTGAGACATTGAAGGATGGGCGGGGAAGGTTTGTACCGAATATATTATATATAATTATAATTGAGACATTGAAGGATGGGCGGGGAAGGTTTGTACCGAATATATTATATATAATTATAATTGAGACATAGAAGGATGGGCGGGGAAGGTTTGTACCGAATATATTATATATATTTCTAATTGAGACATTGAAGGATGGGCGGGGAAGGTTTGTACCGAATATATTATATATAATTATAATTGAGACATTGGAGGATGGGCGAGGAAGGTTTGTACCGAATATATTATATATAATTATAATTGAGACATAGAAGGATGGGCGGGGAAGGTTTGTACCGAATATATTATATATATTTCTAATTGAGACATAGAAGGATGGGCGGGAAAGGTTTGTACCGAATATATTATATATCATTATAATTGAGACATTGAAGGATGGGCGGGGAAGGTTTGTACCGAATATATTATATATTATTATAATTGAGACATTGAAGGATGGGCGGGGAAGGTTTGTACCGAATATATTATATATAATTATAATTGAGACATTGAATTGGAGGATGGGCGAGGAAGGTTTGTACCGAATATATTATATATAATTCTAATTGAGACATAGAAGGATGGGCGGGGAAGGTTTGTACCAAATATATTATATATATTTCTAATTGAGACATAGAAGGATGGGCGGGGAAGGTTTGTACCGAATATATTATATATCATTATAATTGAGACATTGAAGGATGGGCGGGGAAGGTTTGTACCGAATATATTATATATTATTATAATTGAGACATTGGAGGATGGGCGAGGAAGGTTTGAACCGAATATATTATATATAATTATAATTGAGACATTGAAGGATGGGCGAGGAAGGTTTGAACCGAATATATTATATATAATTATAATTGAGACATTGGAGGATGGACGAGGAAGGTTTGTACCGTTAATATAGTATATATAATTATAATTGAGACATTGAAGAATGGGCGGGGAAGGTTTGTACCGTTAATATATGGGCAATATGATATTTCTTGCAGAACTAGTTTTTGAGGCTTGTCAGTGTGACAGACTATTTGGCAGTTGTAACATGCGTGATATGCGTGCATTGCATTCGTCCAATTACATTGATCTGAGTGTCAGGCTCGGTGACTTGGTTTATAACATGTCATCGAAACCCGGCCGCGTTGGGCAATGCTCTTCATATCAACCACTGGTTTGTCTGTCCCAGATTCCATTATTTACATGCCAACGCGGCAGAGGTGGACTATTGCTGACTGTGGCGGACATTAACAAACAAGCCGCAGAACATAAACAATTTCTGTTTGAAAAGTTGTGGAAAACTTTTGATTTTGAAATTGGTATAAAATCATAAAAAAGGGAAATACCTGGGTTGAGACCAATTAGTGCCAGAACCGTATGCAATCGGCTGAGGCAGCACAGCATCCGGCCCCGACATCGAGCGATAAGCCCAATGTTGCTTCAACATCACCGTCAGGCACGCCTAGCTTGGTGTCAACTGCATCTGAGGTTCAGAAGACAAGACCGGGACAGTATGCTGTTTATAAGCATACTTATTTATTAGGCTTGTCAGGTAGTTTGACAGACTGTTTGGCATTTGTGATATGCGCGATGTGCGTGATGTGCGTGATGCCAGCGTGATTGCCAGCGTACACAAAACCAGCTGGCGATTAGGTGCCTCACTCTGGCAGTGTACCCAAAAGGTACGAGAATCTGTACTTTGCAAAGAAAGTGTTATCCCAAATATAACATTTATTACATTTGACTATTTTAAATGTCATAGTGTGTTCACGCCGTCATATAGATGGAATATTGCAGACAAACAAACAAACAAACAAACAAACAAAACAAACGAAATAACATGTATTTGTGTGTATCTTGGTATTCGTTAATTTTGCACCTGAGTATAATATGCCATCATTTGAAATATATTAATAATTGATATCACACATGTAGATACCCGTTCTCGTGTTGAGTTACTTTAGTTAAATTCTTTTACAATTAATATATACAATTATAATATATATATATATGTATTCCGTTCACATTGGATCCTGGTGGGTTTTTACAACCAGACCGAAATATAGGCTACCATTTCAACTTGGTGTTTATTGTTGTATAACGTTATTAAAAGTCTAAAGGGTCTAAAACCCCAATCAAATGTATAACATGACGGTAAGTTTAATATAGTAAGGCCTAGTAGTCAAACGCTCGGGAATTCACGTGTCAAATGAAAAACAATATGTGCAGCAAGTCCTTTTTCCAGAAACTGTGAATGACGCAATTGACATATATTTTTTTAATAACAAATCTCCTCTCGAAACTGGAGTGTCATGCTCCATTCTCATTAAATTCATATTTTAGTATCGCTCCGCTAAACAAACATCTGAGACATCCCATCCCATAAGTTCTAATTTTAATGTGATTATTTCATGCAGCCAATACATGGAATTTAAAACACCTGTATTTTTCTAGGATAAAATATGACCAACACATTTGATGCAGCAATAACAATTGTATTGTAGAAATTCATCATTCAGAACAGTAAAATGCGAATTTTCTAATTCAACAACAAAGTCCTTGACCTCCAAGAGGGACATTTCTTGACAAGGGGTCATTCGTCCAGTATTCGATCAACAACATTGGTTACAACTTTAAGGTGACGACGGCCCAGACCGTTCAATACGGGATATGGCCTCCATGAGCGGCAATACATCTTCGAATGCGGCGTCGAACTGAGTAGACAAGCGTCCTCACATCGACTGCAGGTATCCGATTCCATTCCTCACGGAGGGCAACGATCAACGCTTGTCTCGTGAAGGGAGGATGTTGACGTTTCCGAAGACGACGCCCCAGCTGGTCCCAGAGATGTTTTTGCGGTGACAGATCTGGTGATCGCGCTGGCCACGACAGGACAGTCACGTTGTTGGCGTTGAGGAAGTCTCTAGTAATACGAGCTTTATGGGGTGTGGCGTTATCTTCTTGGAACACCGTCCGTTGTTGACGCTGGATGAAAGGAAGAACCACTTGCCGTAAGATATTGTCAATGTAGCGTTGTGCTGTCAGATTGTCTTCGATGCTGACAAGTTCCGTCTTCTCTTCCCCGCAAATGCCGACCCAGAACGTCACAGTTCCGCCCTCGTAAGGTTCCACCTCCTGGACACAACAAGGAGCCGTACGTTCACCATGTCGTCGATAAACTCGCGTCCTCCCATCAGGTTTTAAGAGTTGGAACCTGCTCTCGTCACTAAACAGCACTCGCCGCAATTCCCTTTGTTGCCATCGCTGAGTTTGCCTGCACCACGTCAATCTGGCACGTCGATGTTGACGGGTCAAGGTCATGCCCTTGAAAGGGCAATAAGCCCGGAGACCATAATGTTGTAGTCGTCTTGTCACTGTTTGTCTACTGACCGGATGTCCTAAGCTGTTGGCAGCTGATGACGTCACAGTAAGAAATCTGTTCCTCAGATGAAGTACCCGTAAAAAGCTGTCATCATGCGGGGTCGTGTCCTTTGGTCTGCCACTCCGTGGTCTGTCTTCGGTTCTGCCAGTCTGTCGGAGACGTGCGACCAGTCTGGTAATGGTCATCTTGGAGCAGTTCATGTGAATGGCAACCTCTCTCTGTGTCGCTCCCATCTGCAGCATACCTATGGCTTTCTCCCTCTGGACAGCGGTCAGTCTTGGCATGTTCGTTGGTGTTAATCATCGCAACCAATGATAGGGAAAAGATCCGTGCGTAATTTATACCCGGAGATTGCACGATAATTTGGGAAAGAATGTTTTAAAAAATTGCTGAAAAACACCAATATCTCCAAAAATCCGCAAAGCACGTGCAAAGAACGACAGAGAACATAAAGGCTGTATTCGTGAGATGTGTTCTTTAATGTATTTTAACAGGCTGGCATCTTTGTTTCAAAGTGGCAAATCAGTTAATGTTGGTAACGTTTCTTTTGGCCCTCAGTTGGGTAGCCTAGTGGTTAAAGAATGTAAGAAGCCTATTTCTGGTATCCCCCGCTGTAATAGTACTGGAATATTGCTAAAAGCGGCGTAAAACCAAATTCACTCACCCACTTACTTACTGATAACATACCCCCGTGTTATGGGTTTTCGGACGCTTACATGTAAAACATCTCATCCCCTTTTAAAAGACAATTTTCTCTTAAAAAGAAGTCATCATCTGAGTATTTACAATGTCTGTCTCCCCCCGTTATAGCTCGAGTAATCGCGATAAACATGGCCGTTCGAAAACGTATGACGCCCGAAAATGTGTGATCCGACGGTAGTATAATAATAAAACAAAGATCAGCCAATATTTTAAACAAAGAATATTCTTTCAACAAACTAAGTGAGACGAGTACAGATACACAATAAATACACGCAATTGAAGAAATAGCGTGTTTCGCACATCGTTTTCTCACCGTACATTAACCTCAGTTTGTGATATACATGTATATGGGCTTTGTCCCATTTCCTTTGTTGAAAGAAAGAGTAATATTTTAATCCCTTTTCCACTCTTATAATACGCCTCCATTATGTTCTGTTGATTGTCATGCTACACCTACTCCTTTCTTTGTCTCATTTATCCATTACCGTTACTCGATACCTCTTAGTATTTCAGTGGTCATCTGTTATTTTTGGATATCCCCATCTTGTTTGAGAATACATTTAAGATTCGCATTGAATGTCCACACAAATATGTAATTAAATAATGAATTAATATGATAATGTGTGTGTGTTGTTTTGTCGTATGAGTTGTAAATGTTTAAATGACTCGTACTTTTATAGCAGCAACTGTTGGATAACTGAAAAAGAAGTGTCGCGGTTCTGTAGCTCACATGAAAATTAACGCTTAACAAAACCAAACCAATATTTTCTGCATAAAAAATTGGTACTAAGTACTTTATTAAATTCTACAGATTTTATGTCATCCAAAGATGACATATCAGCTTGCTAAGTCTGGCAATTGCTTCAGGAAAATATTTTACAAAGCCAAATATGCATTTGAAAGAATTTAAAAACATGGTCCAAACACAAAAGCCCCCAAACAAGGTACAATGTATACTTTATATACAATGGAATAACTGCTTACCAATCAGTCATTACAAATTCAACTAACATGGTTGAGTGATGGTCACAAGAAAGGTTATCAATATGGCTGCCGAGGTAATTGGGCCCACTTGCACAAAGCGATCTTAGCGCTAAGATGACCGTAACTCCCATAGTTTAACAAAGGCTTACAATAGTCTTAGCGCTAAGATCGCTTTGTGCAAGTGGGCCCTGGTGACATCACTGATGGCAACAAGCATGTGACGTTTCAGCTTTATTCGTCCTGTGGTTTCTGAGACTTCAAGTACATGTTAAAACCGTAGAGGTCGAAACAAGGTACAACTTTATGATGATATTGCCAAATATTTAACATATGTGTTCAATCCTACTAAATACCTGTCTACCAAATGAAGTTACGTACGTTCTGAAAACAATTGCTGAATAACGGCCATAATTGTCATTTTTCTTCAATATGGCTGTCTAGGTGGCCATATTGAAATACGGACTCGAAACTCTTCATTAAATTCAGGTGACACCATTGGTGGTAACAGGCATGTAAAGTTCGAGCTTGATTTGTCAAGCGGTTTCGGAGAGGAAGATGCTTACAGATGCTTATGTATTTTGAGAGACACTAAAATATATGGTGAAAACGTAAAAGTGAACAAAAAACAAAAACAACCCAAGAACATGTGTTGAGTCCAACTATTTACTACACCTATGCAATTTGGCTAAACACCTCTTGAACAATGACAGGAGCAATGGTCTCTGAGCATGACGATGTTTACAAACGATGCAGTAGCATGCTGTAGATAACATGTGACCCCAGGTTGCTGCATGACCTTGTAAACTGTAGCACGTGGCCCGAAGTCAATACTCTACTGTTCCGATGTCATGACTGTACTGTTATTGTATTTAAGTTTACCATAACTGTATCTCTTGAGAACGTAACTGCTTACTAACTAAATATATACATTATAGCGAGTGAGTGTTTACTGACGTTAATGTTACTCAAGCCATATCAACCTACCGTCACTTTTGCCTAGCGTATTGAATCCTCCCTCTCTCTCTCTCTCTCTCTCTCTCTCTCTCTCTCTCTCTCTCTCTCTCTCTCTCTGTACATGTAAAATGTTTTAAAAATCTTTAATTAACAAGTCGGCAACGTCACTCCATGCGTACAACTTGTGGAGGTAGTATTCATAAAACTTCCGAGAATGCTAAATTGCAAACATTCCCGTGAAGGTCTGAGTTGGAACTGGTCTTCTGCGTATCGTAACCCATGCATATAGTAAGATGTGACGAACGGGATCTGGTGGTCAGGCTCGCCGACATGGTTGATGCATCACATCGGAACCCAATTGCGTAGATTGATGTTCATACAGCACGGATCACAAGAGCCTGTCTACACAA